CTAGCCACGCCCCCACTCGTCTCGGCCCCGCCCCCGGGGGGACCTGCAGAGGCCCCGCCGCGCAGGCACCCGGGGGTGGGTGATCCGCCGCGCCCTCTCCTAAAGGGCCGGCGACTCCAGGGCGCTCTGGCCTCGGCTCGTCTGAGGGCTGCGGGCCTCCTGTCCCCCTCGCGGATCTTGCATGGGAAAAGAATGTCACCCACAAACGCGCCACGGCCGCCCCTTGCCGACTAAAGACCTGAGTGTGGGCAGCAAAAGACGCGTGTGAGGACCGAACCCACCCGCTGCAGAGCATAGGGCTGACGCGCAACCCACTGCGCTGACCTGGCTCGGCTCGCGGAGACCGCTCCTCACCCAGGAGCACCTTCAGGTGTGTCTGCCGCGCCCAGGATGGCCCTAAGGATCCCCCGGAGGACATTCCACCCTCCTCCCCCAATGACCCAAGGATCCCCTCCCCAGGACGGTTCAGAGAACTCCCAAGGAACCTCCTTCCATGAATCCCTCCAGGACCCCCACCAGAACCGCTAGGACCTCCCCTGAGGGAAGCCCCAAGGACTGGCCCCTAAGATTCCCCAATGACACCACCTTCCTCCCCAGGACCCCCTCCCTCGCAAGGAAAGCTCCAAATGGCCCCCAAGACTGCTGCTCACAGAAGGCGAAATTAAGTGGCAGGTGGAAGCATTGCCAACTGTTAAAGCTCTACGAACTAGGTAAGCCAAATAGAACCCTAAATTGTGCCTGTCAGCTCTTTTATCGAAAAACTAACATCCACTCATTTCTGCCCTTATTACAGTGAAGGGGGAAATCATGCTAGGTGATAAATCCTGTGTCATCTGTCAGTGATCTTGTTACCTTGTTTACTATGCTACAGGGCACGTGTGTTCTAGAGACTCTACAGCTACCTCTTGACAGTGGCTTCACCTTAAATAACTCATAACAAGAAACTGTTATTAATTGTCATCAGAGAGGAGAGCCAGGGGTACGGATGCTATAGTAGCAGCTCTACAACTCCTTTCTGATCAAGACTTACTTTAATGCCCTGAAGTGCTGGAGGAGTTGCCCAGAATCTAAATGGAAGCTAAGAATCCACTGGCAAACCCAGTGTTTCTGGTCTGATGTGGGGTCTTGCTTATCTAATAGAAAAGACTAATCCTGCCAGTTTCCCTGGGCCCAACCTCCACAAAGTCCTGGCTATCCACCACCACCTCCATAAGGAAATCTCTAAGCAGAAAAGAGGGCAGTCTATCCTAGTCCACAGAATCCCATAAATGGGGAAGTGCATCTTTTGACAAAAAAAAAAAAAATAGCAGTGCCTTAGTTCAAATGTTTACCATCTTAGGTCTACACACAATTGAAAAACAACACCTTGGTCAGAAATAGCACAGATAAGCTGCTATGTCCTTCCATCAGCAGCACAGGATGTCCCATTCCCCACAACGGTGACCTTAGTTTTGATGCCACGAGTTGTGATAGAGAGAGCTTTGCACAGAGACCTGTGTCCTCTCCCCTCACCCCACAGGCCAGACCCAATGGTTTTGGGGTGGGCTTGGGGCTCCACTCCTGATGCCTGTCTTAAGAATGCCACTGATGCCTGGCCAGCCAGTGTGGCTCAGTGGTTGAGTGTCAACCTATGAACCAGGAGGTCATGGTTCAGTTCCCAGTCAGAGCATATGCCCGGGTTTTGGGCTCAATCCCCATTAGGGGGCATGTAGGAGGCAGGCAATTGATTACTCTCTCTCATCATTGATGTTTCTTTCTCCCTCTCCCTTCTAAATCAATAAAAAATATATACATTGTCATATATATATGACAATGTGTGTGTATATATAATATATATATGAAAAATAACATCAAATTGACCTACCTGCATATAGAAGGTTTTCCCATCCATCCTCTGTAGTTGCCAGAACTGGCTTCCTTCAAACAGTAACATAAGTAAAAGCAGACTCATCTTATCACTCACCTATTTAAAAGTACTTAGTGGGCCTATTGACTCCTTATTAAATCACACAAAATAGCTCACTATCTGGTCCTATCCTCCAGCCTGGCCTTCTCATTCCCCACACACATCTTTCAATCAGTGCCACCAGATTCCTTAGCCAAAACTCACCGTGTCTTGTCACATCTCTGTCACTTTGCTCAAGCTGTCTCCTTTGCCAGGAAGTCCCATCTCCCCAGTCTGTGCCTTTAAAGCCAACCCCCTTCCTTCTTGTCCTCTAATGTACCCCCTTCTAGGAAGGATGGTCCCTTTATTACAAGCACCATCATATTGTCTTATTGTAAACAGTTGCTTCCTTTGGTTTTACTAGATGTAACCCTCGCAACATGACAGATGTACTAACCCTTCATGCAGTCAATGAATGTTTACTGAATACATGTTTGTTGAATGAAAAAAAAAAGAACAAACAAATAAACTGGCTAAAAGATTAAACAGGGAGGATTGTGAACCAAACAGACATAGAAAAGACTGTTGGGCTATCATCATCACCATCACCATCTAAGCTAGGAAATATCTCAGCAATGTACCAAATAATATAATAAAAATTTACAGAATGCCTGACTAGCCTATGCGCTATGTTCAGTGTGGATCCATAGGTTCTATTCTAAAGCATGATCCTTGCCACTGTTACATCTCAGTCAGTTTTAAAGAAATATATCTATTCCGTACTAGGCCCTATTAATAAAATAAATTTTTCTTCTAGGGGAGCTTAGAGTATATTAAAATGTACAAATTAATTTGTTCAAATTTTCATCTTTAATAGAATGGCTAAGCTATTCTGTGTTCATAATTTGAATTATGCAACTAAAAGATACACCTATATATCCTTTATAGCAGGAAGGCTGTGTACAATAACTCACAAAGATGTTGAAGGATTGAACTGGTGCAGACCATCAGAACAGAAAGAAAAAGTCAGCTGTGAGAGCTTGGGTAATCCATGTTGGTATAAAGGAGCCAGAAGGGAAAGACTTTGAATATAGTGGAGAACTTTCACATGTTGAATGCTGAAAGCATTATGTGTCTTTGAACAATTTTATAATCCCTCATACAGAACTTGTATCCTTTTTTTATTTTTTTAAATATACATTTTATTGATTTTTTACAGAGAGGAAGGGAGAGGGATAGAGAGTCAGAAACATCGATGAGAGAAAAACATCGATCAGCCGCCTCCTGCACACCTCCTACTGGGGATGTGCACACAACCAAGGTACATGCCCTTGACCGGGATCGAACCTGGGACCTTTCAGTCCGCAGGCCGACACTCTATCCACTGAGCCAAACCGGTTACGGCAGAACTTGTATCCTTTACAAAGAACATTAAGGAGGATCATAATAAAATGAGGAAAAACTAGATAGAAGAGATCATTTGTTTTAATACTACAACAATGAACTCTTTGTTAGTGAGAACTGGTAACATCTAAGGAAATAAGTAGAATATAGGACAGGGCATTTTTTAATTGGTTGCCTGGAAAGTCACTGAAAGTAGTAAGCCATGTTAACTTGATGCATGCTGTTAGATGTGAAAAATGTCATCTTATCCATTGCCCAGCAGAAACACTCAGGGTAAAGGGAAAACATTCTTGGCTAAACAAGAAGTTCATGGTTTAAAACGAGAGTCTGAACAGTTGCATCCCTTAACAGCTGCATATATTGTATGGGCAAACGCTGGAAAAACAATCCATTGAAATGTATTTAGAATTAAACAAGCAAACAACAACAACAGCAAAACCCTTGGACTGTTACCCAGTTCCATCAGTTGTTATTCACTCATTTAAGAGTGAATAATGTTAGGTTATCTGAATGATTTGCCATGGCTTTCCTGTATGCACTAGTTTGTTGATTTTTAAAGTTGAACCCCAGAGGCAGAGCTTCACAGGGAGGAAGCATTCTAATACAGGGCCTCTTTCGCAAAACCTCACAGGACCCAGTGAGGACACTCCCACAGATTGCATCTACTGGGTGTCAACTGCAAAATCTTCCTGACTGAATTCTTTCTGAGAATAGCTCATGCGCTCCTCTTGAGCAATACTTGTTTGTTTACTTGTTCTAAAGAGCAAGGAGATGACACAGGACAGATTGGACAACGGGCCAATAGTGTCCCAGAGGACTTCCAGGGTGGAATATGTCTTCCAATCAGAAAGAGGAGAGGCGGGACAGGCCTGAGGAGGTGAACTACCTCTCAGTGTGACTTGCACTCCATATTGAGTGTGGCAAAAATAGCCCTAATGTGTTCTAGAGCAGGTTAATGTTTCGCGCCCCATTTGACAGATTCTTAGAAATAGCTAGCATGATTTACAGCTGCGTTACTCAATAATGCTGTGATGTCATATTCAGTTCTTATCGGTTAAATTATATCCCCCATGATTATGGTCATTTAATGTTATGGAAAAAGGAATAGGGTAAGAGTTATTTAAAACTGACACTGCTTGGCTTCCTACAATGATTATTTGATAGTTTAAAAGCACCAGGAGATTCCTGGAGAAAACACTAAATAAATTTAAGTGAAAGATGTGCTTTTGCTTTCCCCTTTTTTAAGGGTTGTTTCAAGGAACTGTAATATTTGTTATTCAACTAAAAATAAATCATACTATGTTTATATTAGCTACCTTAAAATAATTCATGAACAATATCAATTTACCACTCTGAATATTTTCCACTACATCAAACTTCTATTAAACTGCAATTGGAGGCACATGAAATTTTTCACATACACTCAAGCACACTTGTTTTCAAAAGTTACACGAAGTTACTTTTAAAAAAAATTTTAGAGAGGGAAAGAAACATTTATTTGTTGGTCCACTAATTTATGCATTCATTTGTTGCATCTTTTTAAATTTATTTGAAATTTTCTATCACCGTTTATCCCCTCCATGCCCTCCACCATACCCGCAACCCCAAAGTGATTGCTTCTTGTATGTGCCCTGATGGGAGATTGATCCTGCAACCTTGGCATATCGGGATGATGCTATAGAAACATCAATAATGAGAGAGAATCATTGATCAGCTGCCTCCTGCATATCGCTACTGGGGATCAAGCCTACAACCTGGCATATGCTCTTGATCAGAACCAAGCCCCGGACACTTCAGTCTTCAGGTTGACGCTCTGTCCACTGAGCCAAACCAGCTAGGGCCTAAAGTAATACATTTTAAGTCTCATTAATTATTTATTCAAACATGCTAGTCTAAAATGGAAATTATGCTTATGAGAAACCTTTACACACCAACTGAATTGGATGATTTCCTGAGAAATATGTAGGGATATGTGGTTTTATTTTATTTTAATTATTATTTTTAATTTTGGGGTTTTTTTTCCATTTTATTTTTTAATATATGTTTGTTAATTTCAGATAGGAAGGGAGAGGGAAAGAAACATCATTGATGGGAGAATCATCTACTTGGCTGCATCCTGAACGCTCCCTCCTGGGGATTGAGCCTATAACCCTGGACATGTGTCCTGACTGGAATCCAACCATGACCTCCTAGTTCATAAATCGATAGTCAACCACTGAGCAACACCGGCCAGGCAGAATATATGATTTTAGATTCAAGTGGGAGCTCAAGCTTAGGGCTAGGACTATAACAACCACTGTAAATGTGGACTTCAGTACTAGAAAATCTCAGAGTAATCCAGTCCCAACACTAGCATAGCCCTTGAGGCTAATCCCTTGAGGCTGTTACAATGAACCAAGGCCTCCCGGTAATTTGGTAATGCTTTATGGATGCTTAAGGGACTAGGAAAATATGAAACTCTCCTTCCCTTCCCCCCACTCCCATATGCCAGATAATTTATTTCTCCCTCTTGCATTTGGAACAGTTATCCAGCAAGAGAATGAGAGGTCCATTTCTTACAAAGTAGCACTAAGCCAAGAAAGCACTCACCAGTCAATACTAAGTATCATAAAAATCCCTTTGTACTTCAAAACTGATCATTTTGTGTTTGGCAGAAGGTAGGTACATAATAAGCACTTACTGGATTTTTTTTTTTTCAATCTTCACGGAATAAAAACAATCAAGAAAGTACACTGGAAGCTTAAATCTTTGGAATTTTGGAAACCAGATAAAATGTCTAAGTGTTCTTTATTAACTGTATATTATCAGATTTTAAAGGTAAAGAACTGTGACAGAAAGAGGAAAAAAGAATACGTGAGACAGCAAGTGACACATGCACAAATCCACTGTTCTTTTGTAGACAGAATAAAGAGCTACAACTAACATCATTGTTTTGGTGGTGGGGAATAATTGCATGGGAACTCTAACATACTTGCTTCTCTATAAAGAAAAAAATTCCAACTGTATTAAAACCAC